AATTGAGTTGGAATCAAGTCAAACTTTCTACATTGTACATTGTTCATAAAGTAACATACACACAGTGAATGTATATTCAATACGAAACTGATTATTGTAAATTTATCATTCATACATGTACATGTACAGTGTAGGTATGTCAAACCTTTAATTGTTGGATGCCAGTCAATACAAGTCACAACTTTATCTTTACTGAACTTGAGGTCAGTGAATGACTGATACTCCTATAATGTAAGCACAAGTACATGTACATGTACATGTAGTTTGATATATTTCCTAATGAAACCTTAAGATTAGTGTCAGTTGTGTTAGCAACAATCCCATCATCATTGGACAGTAGGAGATAGTCATCAGGGAATATATCCATAATCTCATTCTGCTGCAAACACAATTCCATTCTATAAAATAAGAAAATAAAAATAAAAGGATAGACCATATACATGTACAAGTATACTTTTGCCGGATACATAATATACATGTACATGTACCTTGGTGTCACATTCTTCATGAATTCCTGCATCTCTTCACTCTTCCAAACTCTCTCTTGTTCCTCTTCACTGAATGTCCTTGGTTCATATTGAGTGCATGCATTAACTGGACAGCTCCTAATCATTAACAATACATGTACATGTTCATATGTTCATATGTACAGCATGCATGTATATATATTACATGTATGAGTCAGTACAAGTAGTACATACTATAATGTATACATAGTCAAACACTATTCACTTACCATTTTGATTGAATGATTTTATCAGCAACTTCAGGAATAGCCTAAAATAATTCATGAGAAAACATATGCATCAACAGCTAGTGAGCTTTTACATGCACACGTATTACTATATGCTATACAAAAAGTTTGAGCTAATTTGAACATTTAATTTAATTTAATTCAAAAAGCTCTCTCTTTTATTATTTTTCTTTCACCTCTCTCTCTTGCTCCCTCCCTCACCTGTGTCCCTTGCTCCAGTTCCAGTCTCTTTATTTCAAGGATATTCTCTTGAGAAGTTGCTCCAGGAGCCACTGGCGTCACTTCAGTGTAAAGCTCCTTATTGTTAATGTAACTGTAATCAGAGAACTGTATCTCACGACCAAACAACCTCCTCTTTCTGGAGACATTGAACTTCATCTAATAATAATGCATAATGAATGATAAGTGTAAAAATATACGTGTACATGTACATGTACATAATATATGTGATCATGCTATATCAATTAGAGAAAAAAGAAGATTGGATGTAAACAAGTGTAATGGTGTAAAAATAAACCTATAATTGTTTTCACCACCTTTATGTACAGTTCATTGAAAATCAAGAAAAACAAATTTAATGCACTGTACATGTATGGTAAAATGTACATGTACATGGCATTTGGCAACTACACTAAATCTCTCTCTCTGTTATGACTA